TTTTAAAGGAAGAGTATATCAGTCCAAAGATATCATCCCATTAGGCTGACAAAGCGGTTTGATTGACTGCGTAACTATGGAAACAGCATACATATAGCTACGTCAGAAGCTCCTGGGCTCACCCTACAGAAGCAGTGAGAACTGAACTCATTGTCCAAGTGCTGGTAGGGAAGGCGATGTCTTGGTACTTCTCTGTTCTATTCCTCAGGTATAATTTCCATTTAATAAACACCTCGTCAGTGCCTGGCATGGGGAGGTGGTAAAGAATTTAATAAATTCTTTACATATTGCATTTATATAACAGTCTTGTAACTTGATTGTTTTCCCAACTAAAATCCAAACTCATTGTGGTTCTATTTCAGAACTTGGTAATTTCTATATACCTAGAATGAATATAGGTAAAGTGTCTGGCACAGTAAAGTACATAGCAGATGATGACTAAACATTTGTTGATGGGATGAACAAATGTCTTTTGCAATACTCTCACAAAAGTCACAGCGGCAGGGATTTAAGGTAGTTCAAGTGGCAGAGTGCATGCCTAGCAAGTGCAAGGCCTTGCATTCAAACTCCAGTTTTGAGCCAGGCACTGGTGGCTCACGCCTATAATCCTAGCTACTCAGGAGGCTGAGATTTGAGGATCACAATTCAAAGCCAGCCAGGGCAGGAAAGTCTGTGAGACTCTTATCTCCAATAAGACACTCAGAAAACCAGAAGTGGCACTGTGGCTCAGGTGGTAGAGCGCTAGCCTTGAACTGAAGAGCTGAGGGACAGTGCCCAGGCCCAGAGTTCAAGCTCCATAACTGACAAAAATTTAAAAAAACAGTCCTACACAAAACAAAAACAAAAAACAAAACCAGTCCTACACCCTCCAAAAAAGTCATAGTGGCAAACAGCATCTTTTTCAGCTAAGTAAAAATGTCCTTCAAGAAGGCATAAAGCATCTCATCATATATGATATTCTATCTTTTCATCTGTGCAATAAAAATGAGATAAAAATTCCCCACATTGAGCTTTATCAAAGAATGCTGACATTATCAGTGCTCAAACCATCAATGTTTTGATGTGTATAAGCAAGTGTGTAAGCAAGCTCATACACCCTTACACTCACATGTGAACACACATTCACATGTAAGCACACATTTGTTTGCCCACATGTCCTACACAGACTTCAGAGAAACAGGCACCTTAACGAAATGTTCATTCTAAGATTAGGAACAGACATTTAATTTCCCGAAGAGACATAGTCTTCAAAGTATTCTGACCTGGTTCCAGAAATCATAAATTTACATAAATCAAAATGCTGAAATCATAATATTCCAGAAATGATGACTATATTTAAAATGATGATCAGATTGATGGCATCCACCACAAGGATCATCATTAGTGAGGTTTACCCTGCACTCCTTTTACATGGCATTTAACCCACACGAATAAAAATAAAGAGATTTCCCCTTCCCCATCTTTACAGATTGTCTCTGTTCTATGTTAGTGAATCTACATGCTGGTACCTGTATTTTCACACGTCTACTGGTTCTCCAGTAACCAGTATCTCACATCCACTCTAGCATGCCATTACCGCCACGCTGAATCCCCGAAAGAGAAGATGGCAATCTCTGTCATGGACTGTAATTTGAATTCCCTTATGTGGCTTCTAAGGAAGGGACAGCTTTGATCTTCAGCTTTCCCCTTCCTTTCTCCCCCTTCCCTGCAGGTCAAGTGGGATAGGCTCTCTCTCCATCTAACCATTCCAGCTAGCGGTCAGAGCTTCAGTCAAGAACATTCTTTTTACTTCACTGCCCTGTACAGACCTCCAAGGCTCACGTGCAAATACAATTAGTTTATCTCTCACTCACTCTCCATCCTCTGAATGTCTGATCACTCACATGTATTTCAGCCTAAAAGTTGCAGATCTTGCCCTGTCAGATTCCTAGTTCTTCCTTTGTGAGATTCCAAGTCACATTTCATATAGACTTCCATAACCTGAATGTCTTCCTTTACAAAGGTTCCAGACCAGAAAAGAAGATTACAAGTTTGTCATGTAGAATTGGGTTAAGCACAAAGATAGGGACAAACAGATCACTGTTATATTCCTTAATATCCTACATCATTATGATTCAATATTTGTCTGTATAACCATTTCAATGTTACCCAACTCCACTATAATCTGGCAAGCATTTTTGTAATTACTTACAAGAGTTTCTTTCAAGAGACTACATGTACTTTTATAATGGAGACTTTGACTGTTCCAAGCACCTAGCACAAAACCTGGTGCACAGCAGTGCTCAATGATTACCTCCCCAATAATACATCCTGATGTTGCATGAGGATGCTGTTTACATGCCTTTTGGAAAGCATTTTTTTCTAAGTGAATTTGTGTGTATGTATTGCCTTTGACAACCATGAGAATTCTGAATTCCCCATCTGTGTTCTAAGAGGATTAAGCAATCATAAGATGCAAAAGGGTGAGACAGAGGCAGCTCAGGAAGTTTCAGACAACACTGGCTTGACCCGTTTGTGCCATAAGTCCACATTCCACAGAGATGGTCTGCCTGTAGCAATTGAGGAGAGAAGATGGGAGAAAGAGTTCAGCTTTGAAAAATATCTCTCTCTTTCTATGTAAATGTGTGTGTGTGTGTGTGTGTGTGTGTATGCTCATCTAAAGATACAAACTCAATCTCACCACAGATCTGTAGAGTATACATGCGGTGTAAAGTGAATGCTCCATTCCAGGCAGGGATGCATTCAAGGAAAATCTGTGTTCTAAGAGAGATAGAAGGGGATGTGAAGAATTAGGGAATGAAAGGAAATAGAAAAGGAGATAGTCTTTAAGGCGAATGCAAAAGTGAATCTATGAGATCTAACAGTTGTGATTTAACTTATGACTTGCTTACAAAGCTTTTCTTCTCCAATAAGCTGAAATATCTCTCCTAAATCCTCACCCAATATTTGAGCAATATAGTAAGGATAAAATAGCTTTTTCATACTCTACGAGGCAAAGACACTCAAGAAAACTTATAAGAATCTAGCGCAAATGAGAACCAGAGGCCTTAGCATTGGGATGGATTTCCAGAAATCCTCTGGTTCAAACACCTCCCCTTAGATGGAGAATGTTCAATTTTCCCCACTTTAGAGATCCCATAAGCCAATACCAAACCTGTGCTTATTGGTGGGGAGAGGATGTAAGGGACCAAGAAGAGAATAATTTGGTCCTCTGAACGTTCTATTCACAACTAGCACCCTGCAAGTGATCCAAGATTCCCAGCAATCTCAGGATTTGTTTCAAAACTCCAATAGGAGTGATTTGGAACTCATTAAAATTCATCTAATTCTCTCAACAGACTTAGGAGAAAAATATTTTTATTATCTTTACTTTCCTAACTTAAAACACTACCTAGAGAGTCCAAATAAGTGGCTTGAGATGGATCATCAGAGAAGTGGTTGAGTCAGGGACTATGAACCTCAGTGTCCCATTTAAGTCTGGGTTTTGATGCCATTAAATACATAGTAACTTTGGAGAGAAGAAACTACCTTCTAGGTCTGTCTCTTTCTTGCCCTTATCAAAGATTAGACAAAGTTTAGAATGCCCTTATAATTGTAGTCTGTACACCCAGAGGAGCATGAAAATCAAGAGCCAGGGAACGTGGCACCCCCAACTATGTCTGACTCTCCTTCATTCTTTGTATGGTTTCCATACAAATCATTATTTCAGAGATAGAAGGAATCAAGTGATGAGAATCCTGTGCTGGTGCCTGTCCATTTAACACTCAGCCATCCCTTCTTCATATATTTGGGGACCTGAGTAGCAACAACTCTCTATTCCTAGATGGAAATGTTGATCAGCACCTGTCTGAGGTTCCAACAGGCCAAAACATATCAAGGGGTTGTATATTTCCAAGGGATCTGTTTAGAGGGTGGGATGGATGGTCCCAGACATTCCTAAAGGTAGCACCTGTCACAGTATCTCAGAATAGCCAAGATGCCCCTTCCCTACTACATTGGGAGATCCACAAAGGAGAGTATTCCAGAGCACAGCCAAAGCCTTCCCAATGCAACAACCCCAATAAACACTCAGCATGTAAACCCAGCTTCTGTTCAGTGATTTCCTCACTCCAAGTAACTTTTGACCCTATCTGGGGACACTTTTGGTTGTCACAGCTGGGGGTGACATTGCTAGTGGCAGCAAATAAACAGAGGTCACTAAACACCCTACACAACACGGCACAGTGACTCTAGCCCCAAATAGCAATGCTGTGGCGGTACAAGAGCCCCCTTGTTAATCCAGTGTAGCCTTGTTGTAAACGAATGACCTGAAAACTAAAGAGACAAAATTCCTTGCCTCTGAGAGTAATGTCAGAGTCAGCTCTAGGGCTGCTCCCACCCATGTCCTTTCCTCACTGGGAAATTCTGCAGGGCGGATCTCTGCAGATCACTCACGTGGTTTCCTGTGCCAACATATCCACACTAAAAAGAGAATCTTAGATGATAGCATGAGTTCCTGAAGTCTGTTCTTACTTGGGGGAAAAAAGAAACTTATAGCTTGTGTATATAAATAAGGAAAATGTGCACATAGATACTTGCTTTATTTATTTTCTCAGGCTGATAAGACAATTCTTATCATTCATTTTTCCAAAAGTGGACACGTCGTGATAAATTAAGTGGTTAATCATATAATAAGTGGTAAATAGCAATAAATTGGGGACATGGAAGTAATGCTTTAATTCATTCCACCTTTCTCCTTTCCTTCCTCCCCTCTTCTTTTGTCCCTGTCTCTCCCTTCCTCTCTCTTTCAAGAATGATATGAAACAAACATGAGACGAAATTTTATCTGCTAGCTTTGAGCAGCAGTGGTGTTATTATTTGGGGTTTCGTTTTCAGTTCTAGGTAAGCCACCCCCTGTAAGAGCGGGCCTTTCCAGAGGCACCTCCAAAGTCCCCTGGGGATTCCCAGGTCCCCAAACACAGCAACTTGTCTCCACAGCTGCTCACAGACCCAGAAGAAGAGAAGGAAAGCACGAAGCCAGATCTCCGGATCTAGACAGCACTGCCATTTACTTGGGTGAGTCAATTAAACTCTCTGAGACAAAAACTTATTTTTTTCAAAATGGAAATTCTTTAAAAGGAAATAATTACAGGGCTGTTAAAATAAAAGTCGAAGTAAACTTGTGTTGAGAAGAGTGGGTACAGACTTAGTGAGAATAAATGTCTGCTCTTCATTGTTGTCAGAGCTTTTACTCCTTCCTTCCTTCCTTCCTTCCTTCCTTCCTTCTTTCCTTCCTTCCTTCCTTCCTTCCTTCCTTCCTTCTTCCTTGCTTCTCTCTCTTCTCTTTCTTTCTCTTTCTTTCTCTCTTTCTTTCTTTCTCTCTCTCTCTTTCTTTCTTTCTTTCTTTCTTTCTCTTGTTCTTCATAAGAAGGCTAAAAATACAAAGGCAAGAATTTAATAGGTAAAGGTATTCTTTCTCTTCTTCCTCTCAGGTCATCTGTAGATACACCAAAATTCTACCCACCACAACAGCTTGTAACACAGTTTTGCCCTTCTGGTCATTCGGGTTAGTTATTAATTGGGCAGATCCATGGATTTCCTGGTGTGCTGTGAGCTGCACTGGACACTGAGCAATTCTAGAGGGACAGCACACATGACCCTGATCCAGATCCTGCCTTGAGGAAACACAGAGAAGGACACAGAGGATCCTGAAATGACACAGTGTGGTGAGTATTATGTGGATGGTGCAAGGTACTCATTCCTTAGTACAAAGGGCAGAAACTACTTCTGACTGTGCCCTGGAGCAAGTCTTCATAGAATAGTAACCAGAGGCAACCCTGGGAAACCAGAAAATATTCAAGTAGAGATGTCAGAAAAGAACACAGAAGAAGAAGTCTGGTTATGAAGAGTGCAGCATGGAAACATGAAAAGAACTTCCCAAGAAACTAAGCTCTATGCAGGGGCTGAGAAGGGCTCAAAACCAAATAAAGATAGGCAATTAATTAATTATGCAGTGTGGGGGTTGGTTTGCTCACAATTGGTGGTCCATCACATGAGCCATGACTCTACTTAGAGCTTTTATTCTAGTCAAACGGAGATAAGAGTCATTTGGATTGTCTTCCCAAGCTGGTTTTGAAGCACGATTTTCAATTCTCACACTCCTGAGTAGCTAGTGTCATAGGTGTGAGCTATGACTGGGGTTTGAATTCATGACTGTGTGCTTGTTAGGCAGGTGCTCTATTACTTAAGCCACACTGCTAGCTCTATTTCCTTTCTTTTCTTTATTGTTTTTCCTTTGTTTTTATTTTCTTTTTCAGATAAGATCTCAAGTTTTCACCTGGAGCGAGCCTCCAATTGAGATCCTAGCTATGTCTCCTTTATGGTGGTGTGTGCTTCCTTACATCCAATCTTGAGAAAAGTTTGTAAAAGGGACATGTGCCTTGTCCATTTGAGACATCCTATTTTATTTTGTCCATAGGAATAGACAGTTACTAATAGTTTCAGAGCAAGGGTGAGACACAAGGGGGATTTCGGGTTAATTCTACAGCACTGAACACAGAGGCTGTATGGATTGGTATGGGACAGGGTAAAGAACACGAAGGCAACATGAAGCACTTGAGCGGCAACCTGTCCCTGGAAGCGCCAGGTCTTGTTTCTCCAAGAGTCTTAAAGGGTATTCGTGCAACCTCATACCCAGTGTAAGAATAAGCAGTCCACTCACTCCACCTGGTCATCTCCCTGATGGGAGGGATGGGCACTGGTGCATCTATGCCCTGAAGGCTGAGGGAATGGCTCAACTTTGCAGAACAAGGAGACAAAGGGTTGTGGGAGATTAGCCCCAACCTCTGTCTGCTGAGACTTGGGCTCAACCCCACCTCTGTCCCTATGGGAGGTGATTCTCTCAATCATGGCTTCCTTCCATGTGAAAACGAATGGTTCTCTTTAATGTCCAAGGGATATAGTGACAGGAAGTGAGGTTTCTTCCCTATCAAGGCTAAGCATGGTATATACAAATATTTCTCACTGATCTGATCAAAATTCCCCTCCTAGTTTCAGCCATTCATGAGATCTAATTCCATTTTCCAGAAACAATAGAACCCCCGCATTCTCAGTTTCAGAAGATGATAGAGATAACAGCAACCATATCCACACAGACCATTCTCTTCTTTAAGTTAAACTTCACCCTCCTCCTCACATAACACACTTTCCAGAGCACTTAGCCTTGCAATCTTAATGAATTCACTGCGATGATATATAAATTCTTCATCTTTTATTAAAACCTGCATTTCTACATAGGATGAGAGGTAAAAGTCAGCTTTTGCAAAAGCAGTCCCAATTATCCAGCTCCTCTCAGTGAGTGAATTTGTTTGGCTAGGAGGGAGAGAAGGTGCCAAGTTGATGATCTTCCTGGAGACTTCTGACCCCATTTTTATTCCCTCCAGGCCCTGGTCTGACAACTTCAAATGTAGTCTAGGACAACACACTGGGGAAAGAAAAATTGAGAACCAGTGGTGTAAGACACATGGATCAGTGTTCCTCTAATTACCCAAAATAAACCAAGACTAACAAGACTAAAATATCTCCAACACTTCATGTTAAAGAGGCTCAGATGAGCTCCTGTTAAGACCATGCACGAAACAGTGCTGTGTTTTTTGGTACAGTTGGTCCAGCCTTGGGATCTGATCTCAAAGATGAAGGAAGACATCGAAAGACATCCAAGACCCCAATGTTATTCCCACTTGTGTGGAGAGTCAGATGCTTTTACCTTTAAAAAGTATATTTTGGGTTTTTGTTTGTTTGTTTGTTTTTTGAAATGGGGTCTTGATGCATTTGTCAAATTGCCCCAGCAAATATTCTTACCAATATGCATGGATTACTTTCTGGTCCAGAGACCAGATTCTGTAGAAGCTCATGAAGATAACAAGGTTATCCACTGAACACTCCTGAGAGTCACACCTGTAATCCTTTCTGTACAGGAGGCTGAGATCTAGGTTTTTAGCCAGCCCAGGCAGACATATCTGAGATATATCTGAGAAACTCTTATCTCCAATTAACCAAGCCAAAAGTGGAGGTATGGCTCAAGTAATAGAGTTCCAGCCTTGAACAAAAAAGTTTAGGTAGAGCATGAAGCCCTGACTTCAAGTCCCCATACCAATGCATACACATAGACACACACACACAGAGTCAGACACACACCACACATTGATTATGTTGACTTTATAGTTTTAATTATATGTGTATGTATATATGTAGACACAAATGGAAATAAGTATAGATGTGTTGTATATGTATGTATGTACATGTATATACCATAGCTCCCTATGATAAGAAGTCTTAGGAGCAATGGTACACAAATAGCAAAAAGCACATTTAGTGCCTCTAAATTCCCAATAAAAAATTCTTTTACCTTTTATGTTTCTCTTTTTTTTCTTTGATTTCTTGAAGTACTGGGATTTACTCAGGGCCTTACGTATGTCAGGCAGGCATTTTACCACTTGAGCCACCCCTCTAGCTCTAAGTATCCTTCTTTGTGTCCATTTGCTCATTCTCATCTCTTAGTTAACTCTAACAATTCTGTATCCCAGAAAACCCATAAATCAGGAAAGTTAAAACAGTATTCTTATTAAAAATAAGACAAAGACAGATCCAGACTGACCAAAGATAATCATTTCATGAATGGAAGATAGGAAGACAGGATCACAATATAATTCTATGACACAGATACTCAAACACTGACAGTTTATGGGGCAATGATAGATGCTGGTCAGGAAGGAATAGATCCATCTGAGGGAAGAAATGGCACAGAGCTAGAGATCAACCATATTCTAAGACTGAATTCCTATTTGGTCTTGTTAAAAAACAATTTTAACACTTTTTAAAGTTTATTTGAGTACACAAGCTATATGAATTGGGTCCCAAAACAAAAAGCATTTGTGGAAACCAGGACAAAAATCATATTTGATTGGCTAAAGTGGAAAACACCTAGTTAGTCTCTAGTTGATGGTTTCAGATTGGCAAAGTTATTAGTTTGAGATTGGCTGACAGTTTCTGATTGTTAAGCTGATATTAACTTTCCCTGAAGCTTGATTTTCTTATAATCCAAGGACCAATAGCTCTAAAGCTATTCCAGCATAATGTCCTTTAGATTGGCCTTTTTCTCTATCTCCAATGGGGGATTTGGAACCTATTAATGACACAATTTCTTATACCATCAGTTTTTGATCATATCACTCATATACACATATGAAATATATACATTTCCCATATTTCCTCAAAACCAATCATGACAAAATATATACATTGAATTGCTATCCTTGGGTCCTGGTACAGAGATTCTATAACCTAGGTCAATTTTTTGAGAGATAGTAGTAATAAGAGTATATTATTTATTTTTTAATTTTAGTTAGTTAATTTAGTTATTTATTTTTATATCAGTTTGCTCATATGGTCCCTGAGGCAGCCTCAGAACAGGGTCTGGCTGCCAGACAAACCAGACATGTCAGTAGAGGGCTGGAACTCCTGTCTCTTCCCATGGGTGTCCAGAGAGAGCAATCAGATGAGAGCCTGAGTTAATCACCAATAGACACTGATTTAACTAGTCATGTATATGGAATTAAACCTCCATAAAACCCTTAAACCACTAGGTTCAGAACTTTCTGACTGGTGGTTATACATTGGATCACTAGGAGAGGACATGGAAATACTATATACTTCTTCATTCTTTCATTCATACATCTTTTCCATTTGGTTCTTCCTGAGTACTGCCTTTTAAAAAACAAATCAGTTATCATAAACAAACCGTTTTATTCTTAAAACCATGGACCATTCTAGCAGGCAACAAAATATGAAAGGGGAGAAGATCTCTGACTTTGTAGCCAAGACAGGAATGTGAGTGCCTTGAGCACTTCATACTTGGTAATAGGATCTGAAGGACAATCTAATGGGACTAAGCCCTTAAATCTGTGCAGTCTAACACTAACTCCGGGTAGTTATCCCAAAAAATTATTGAATGGGATTCCCAGTTGATAGCAGAGCATTGTAAAACTAGTTGTTGATTTAGGGAAGAAAAAAGTCCATACATTTGGTGATGGAAGTATTGAGTGCAGACAAGTGAACTCAGCAACTCGTCCATTCCCAGAATGTGTCACTAGGAGATTCTTACTAAATACAAAGGGAAAATTTAAATAATTTCAATCAGTGAATCACAGACATTGCTTTAACCAAAGGATGAAAGTTTATAACACCAGTAACAAGATAAATCAACTCTGTGTCCCTCTTCTGAAAGAATGCACTGAGAAGGGCATAATGTCACTTCTGAGGAGAGATACCTATCTTGTTGATGCCAGTGTAATGAGTTGTGGGCCATCTTTACTCTGATTTCTTGTCCATTATTAGGCCTGGGTCATAACAGTGTATATAATGTGGAAGCTGAAACACTCTTTACTTTAGCTAAATTAGCAACAATCATCATATAAAAGAATCAGATTGAGGCATAATAAGGTTTTATTCTACATGGGGGAAATTTTAATTAACACTAGAATCATGTAAAGCTACCCATAGTTATGGAGGCTTAATTACTTATTACAACCCCAAATTGTTTGTAGTAGTGTGGGGTGGGAACTCTATGCCTGCTTTGCAGGTCCCTAGCAACTACAGATGATTTTCAACTATCATAAAGAAAACTGAAACAAAAATCACCAGGGGTTGAAAGACCTAAATTGGATTATAGTCATACTGTTTAGAAAACAAGATTTTACTGATAGTTACTTCCAGCTGAATAAATATCCTTATATTGGCTTATGGTTCATTAGTATTCTGGGGGTGATTATTTTTATTTAAATGTTTCTGACTCAGAATAAATGAGAAATGAGTGAAAGAATAGGAGGTTTCAAGAGGAAATGGACAATCTGATCAGTAAAATAGTATTTCTTGTATGGAGCTAAAATTGTGGATGATAATGAAATTACATTTATTCAACATTACTATTGCCAATAATATTATATTATTAATATAAATAATATTATATTTACAACATATATTACACAAACTATATTATTCAACATTATTATTATTGTCAAATTATTTATTGTAAGGAAATATTTCGAGTCTCCCAGGTTTCAGTACCAAATGTATAAGGAAATATTTTAAGTACCAGGAGTATAAATAAAGAAAAGAGTTGCTATCAATAGGCCAACAGGTTTATTGAACAACTTGAGGAAGGCGACCACGTATTCTACTGCCCGGCTGGAGAAGAAATAATTGCTTTCCTTACCACTAAGCTCTCTTTTCATTAGGCAGAGAGAGAAAGAAGTCAGGTGGAGCAAGGGTTTGGGGTAGTTTGTCATGGGAGGAAGGGAAGAGGGGAATTTATCTT